TACTTAGCTAGATTATAATTGTAAGCGTTCGTTGATGAGATTATTGGTCGTAGTGGAGGCGGTTGTCCTGCTTTACATTTTTTGTTTAATTTGGGTAAGCCATAAAAACGGGATGGTTGAGAGCCTTTTGGGAAAATGTCGTTGTATATTTCGTTGTCAATTGAACCCTTCTTTCTCAATTTTTTTAGCAGTCGTTGTAATTTAACCTCTCGTAATAGTGTAGGATCTTCATCAAGCGGTGTGAATTTTGGTGTGTTTATTTTTTAAAGACAGGAATTTCGATATGTTTGACGATCTAGGATTACAATGCCATTTCCTTTGTCCGGTTCATTTTTATGGGTTCACATGAACGAAACTGGATTACTAACTACAACGACACAAAACCATTTTTCTACCGCAGATACGTTGACGATATTGTTTGTGTTTTTACAAACCAGCTGAGGCTATGAACTTTTTTAGTTACATCAACAAACAACGCACGAACATTAAATTTTCTCTCGAAACTGAAAAACAAAACCAACTACCTTTTCTAGACATTTTATTAACAAAATCGTATGACACCTATACAACGTCGACGTATCATAAACCAACCTACACGGTATTATTGACGAACTACTTCAGTTTCACAACACTTTCTCACAAGACTGAATTAATACTCACACTTATAGACAGAGCATACAAAATTAACAACACCGACAATGGCTTTCAACAAGACCTAAAGAACAGCACATCTATTTAATCGCGCAACTCTTTCCCACTACACTTCATCAACAAAACTGTCAAACGATATCTCCATGACAAAACTAATACTAACTGCAAAGCGAACACCAAAACATCCGATATAACAATCACGACCAACAACAACTAACAGTCCATAAAAACTCTTTACTTTAAACTACCGTACATCGGACATCATTCACGACACACACAAAGCAGACTTACAAACGTCATCAAACGCTTCTGCATTACATTAGCATCCCAGGCGCGGATCCAGGAGAAAAATTAACCGTGGCGTACTTCATAATTAAGGATGTATGGGGAGGGAGGGGGGGAAGGTAAATATTTCTTCACAAAATTTTTTTAGTTGGAACCTCGGAAACATTGTTACTTGTATAAACCTCAATAAGTTTGGAAAGTGTGTTTTGAAATAATCGTCTCCAGGCACTTTTACTGGTTTGCACAATGTAATAAAATGATTTTTAAAAGATGGGAATTTTTGATACACAAAACAAGAGAAGCGCATCACAACAAAGCTTAACATACGGACTGCCATTATGATAATCTCTTGGATATAATGCAAAATGTATTTAAACATTTTAAAGAAGTAATCCGGATTTCCCTACAGTATCATATAACAAGACTAAGTAGATAGTATGCCTGAACAGCAAAATGAATTATTGTGGACTGAGGCAAGTATGAATATCAAGGATATAACTGAAAATGCGTAATTCTTAGCCGCATTCTCCACTTTTTGTAAAACTGCAGTAATTTTTATAGCATTTTATAAGAATTTTCGAAGCACTTTGAAATGGATTGAGCTGCATCATTTATGTCCCAGGCAAATGCAATTTTAAATGAACTGAACACTCTAACTACATGGACTGGATGTTATAATAATAACTAGAATTGCATTTTGTAATCTTAGACAGTTCAAGACTGGTAAGGTATCTGAAGTAAGCAAACAGACACTCTTTCCAAGCAAATGTAACAGAACATGCACTGAATAGACCACACCCACTAGCTAATGTACAAAAAGGCATTTAGTATTTAGGACTTTGATGACTATTTCGTGACAATTTGTTCATTATTTATAAATAAATGTTTGAGTAGAATGTCAGCTTTCATGTACTGCAATGTAATTTTGTTCTTATCTTTGAAAAAAAACACACTCAAATTATACTGTATCTGAAAAAGAATTTTTCTTGTGTGAGATTTAAGAAAATAGCTACCTGAAGATATTTCCTTTCCAAAGTGCCCTTTTCTTCATTTTCATGTACGTAAAATTTTTATGCTTTACCAAATAACTACTTATTGACTAAAACAAATCGTAATAGGATCAATCAGGATAGACAAAATGCTGTAAACTTGCTTATATAAAAATTGAGCTTTGACCATCATAGTTATATTAACAATACTACCGGCAGCTGAATTTCAGACTATAAATCATGGAATTGTTTAAATAAGCAACTAAGTATGACTCTGAGGACTTGGGTGACATAATGATTCGTGAACAACATTATTTTGTTTTGTCCCCCTTAACTAGGGGCCAGTTATTTAAATAGCAACTTCATTAGCAGTAGGTTAACATATAATGCAATGAAACTTTGTCTGCATGAGGTTTGTCAGCATGTGGACGTATGGAGGGAAATGCCAGGTAGAATTCAGCAACATGCACATGAATGAAAACACCATAAAGTTAAATTTTAATTAATGATTGGTCATTGTATAGAACCTTATAATAAAGTAAAATATTTCATTTCACATTCAACCAACAATAAATTAATGAGCAGAAAACTGTGTTCAAATAATAACAGTTTTAGAAAAAGTTTATGTATCATTAACATTGCAAATGCTGCCGTATGGATATTGGAAAACGAATAGCCAATTAGTACGTATATTTTAATCCCAGCTGTCAAAAGCAAATTTAATATATGTGGTTGAAACATTCATACCAAACAGGGACATTATGTCTGGATCTTTTAAATTTCAATAAGAGCTGTATTTAATAAATTTCCGATGTTTGCAGTATGATATCGCCAGTAGAGCTTATACAGCACAGCTTTTCTTGGCTGGTTATTTCCTCCCAATGACATTGTTGATACAACAGACACTGAAATATTTTCGCTTAAAATTTCTAGTTGTGATTAGAAAGTTTCCCATGGCTTTCCAATTACGCCAATCCTTTTACATTCTTCTATCAAACAGTGAACAGAAGTAGCAATAGCTTTTGGATTGTGATTTTATAATCCCGTGAAGTCGATAATTATCGAAGATTCGAAGTTTATAGTTGATCACTTGTAGTGCGCAATCAAAATCCATCCACCGTGGCTCACCGTGGCTCACGTGACTACAGCTCGCTCTGTGATTGGTTTGCAGCCCTGCACCGTGGCTGAAGATTACTATATTTAGCAGCATTTGCGAAACTTTTTACACGCTGACCGTGGCAAATTAAAGCTGTGATCGCAGCTTCGAAGTTACGAACGTTTTCCGAGCAAACTCGGTAAAATTCGGCATGCTTTCGGCAGTTTAACAGCTCAGCGTTTAACTGTATAATTTTACAAAAAGGCAAAAGGTTTATTTTGAAGTTTTTGTGCTTTTTTCAAAAACCATATCAAAAAGACAGTAAATTATAAAAAATATAAATCTAATTTCTTCAATTAAAGACACATTGTTGGTCAATTTGCTGTATTTCAAGTAAATACAGAAGAATTCCTAATCTTATTCATAAAATATAATCTCAAAAATTTGAAAATTCTAACCGTGGCTCGAGCCACTTTCGCCACAGTCTGGATCCGCGCCTGCATCCAACTAATTTTCACTTCCTTCAAAATCAAAAACTACTCATTTAAAAATCCTATCCCTGATTCTATTAAATCTATGGTGGTATACCAATTCGATTGTGCGGGATGTAATTCCCGATTCATTGGCGAAACTTTCCGTCACTTATCAACCAGAATCAGGGAACACACCACAACTGACAAAAACTCACATACCTTTCGAAACCTTTTAAATTCACCTTCATGCAAAACTAACTTTCACCCTCTTGCTTTAAAATCATCGACACTGCAGATACTACATTCGCACTCAAATCAAAGAAGCACTTCACATCAACAAAACTAACCCTAATCTCAACGTTCAAGTTTTTCGTTTTAACACTATATGCAGCCTGTAAATACTTTCATCATTAATTCTAACCACTATTTCATTGTAATATTATAATCTATTCATAAGTGTATAAATTGTATCACAGTATCATATTACTCTTATATATATTCATCACACACATAATATTCCTCATAGTACGGAAAATGGCATCATGAGATGTTGAAACATGTTTATTTGAAAAAAACTTGTCGTTTTTATTAAATGCGCAGAATAAATAGTGCTTTTACGCGGTTACAGTAATACATCATTCAAATCGACACTTATGAAACGCAATCAACAACTATAGGTCCAGTTTTGTGGGACTTAAAATCGGTGATCGAATTGAATAATTACAAGAAAGAAGCAATTATTACACTCAATGAGCGCGAAGACAAATTTGACCAAAACCAAAAGTGCCGTTTTGTTAATCATCTTATATGGCATTAATCAAAAATTATGACCAATCGAAAATTTCAAACAGTTAAAAAATTTGCTAGTCGTTAAATTTGCTGAGAAATATTCCACATTACCATTGTTAAGTGAAAGCGTGAAATTAAGTGTTAAATCAAAGACAATTCTTCAATTTCTTCTTTTATGTACGAATTTGTATGCATTAATTTACCCTAACTGCATTACAAGTCTTAACGAAATTGCGGGGGGTGTATTCTCTGAAATTTCACAACCCATGACTTAGCAGTTTGAATTTTGAATTTAAAACTGCGATTCTCTAATTCATTTTGACATTATTAGAAATCAGCCATTTAACATTCAAAAATAAATAAACTTGCTTTAACATAAAGTTCTGATTAGAGCCATAGAAATAGACCAATCAGAACTTTATGTTGGGCATTAATTTTTATCACACGAATTCGATTTCCGCTCGGCAAGTCTCTCGCTACAATTTTAAACTTGCTTTGATTAGTAACATATAGTGCAAATTGATGAATAGCAAATAACGTAGCTATGTCTTTAGTGTAATTAGTTCAAAATTATAATTCGAGCGTTTCCTGACCTTTATTTTTCAGCATATCCTTTATTGTGATGGTAGTACATTGCACGTATTAACACGACCCTAACATTTGTCATTTAATTTTGAACATATTGATTTACTTGTATTATTGTTCCGTTACTTTCAGGAAAGATGGGGCAAAAGGTTAACATTGTTTTGGTGCCAAATTTCTCATCGTCTGGGTGCTGTGTGTTATTAAATTTACGAACATTGGAATGTCAACCTGTGATGTTTTTGTCTCGTTTGGAGCATGAGAATAACCAATTATACCAAAAGGAATAAAGCAGGGCTATACTTTTGTTATACTAATAATATTGTTACCCACTTCTTGACCCACTTCTTAAAATTAACACATCCCAACTGCTTGAACTTGTTCTTGGAGTTAATATGTGCTGTGTAACATGTTCCAATTGTTAAAATCATTTATGAAAAAAAGGGAAATTGTATTTGCAAAGGGGAAACACGGTCATTACCACGTAATACACAGATGAGCACTTGCTAAAAAATACTTATAACTGCTCATAAACACTTGCTCAAATGCTCATGTCACATGACTTAAACGAACACGTTCATTTACATACAGATGTACATAATCCCAATAGCATCAGTTAAGATTGGACCTTTATCGGTCTTATAAGCAGATAAACTCACATAAACACTCGCTCAAATGCTCATGTCACAAGACTCACATGAACACGTTCATTTAAACACAGACATACATGTCAATAGCATCAGTTAAGATTGGCCTATTATCGGTCTTATGAGTAGATGAGCACTTGCTCAAAAATACTTATAACTGCTAATAAGCACTTGCTCAAATTCTCATAAATGCACATTGATACCTGAAAAAATCACATTTTAAAAAGGTATTGCTGAGGGAATGAGCTGCAAATATTGTGGAAAAGTATTTAATCGAGGGTTTAACTTACGCCGTCACGATAAAGAGTACTGTCCACACAGGGATCAGGAAGAAATGTCTCAATCAGAGGCAAACAGTCAGGATATACAGACTGAAGATAATGCTTCGACAAGTTCCACCGATGAATCTGAATGTTTGATGTCAACAGAAAGGGATGCTAAGACTGAAGAAAAAACTGATCCTTGGATACCATTGATAGAATAGGCAAGGTAAAGAAGTTGTGCAGATTTTGATAAGATAAAAGAAAGCTTTTTGAACAGGGGTGGGGATGAGCAGTCAGCTGAAGATCAAACATGTTCTAACATTCTGCCAAAACTAAACAGAAAGAACTGGAAAGAATTTACATGCAACGTCATATGTGGATAAACCAATCGGAAAAAAATCCCATCCAATTAATGGATACAAAATTAATGCATACAAAAAAAGGGTTTATAGAAAGCGACCACTTTGATCCACAGTAAGCTATAAAAACAGCCGTTGACAAGAGAAAGCTCCTTATTAACATAATCCAAAGGTTCTCACTTCATTGATCACATTTATCATCTTCATTATTGACTGTGTCAGAAAGCTGTATTCTTTTAAAAGTCTGTTAATATTTCAATGTTGCCTGAATAGATTAAAATTTGCAGTTGTTTATAGTATGAATAAATCTTCATGTGCAACAAAAATCCTTTATCATGGTTTCTGTTTCTGTCTTTTTTATTTTGAAGTATCATACTGATTAGCAAAGTATAAAGCGCATGCGCAAAATATTGAATTTGGGCATTCGAAATCATGTTTAAAATTGAAATTAGTTCATTTGTCCAGGAGATGATTGTATTTTCACAAAAAGCATTCAAATATCTCAAGACTAAAACCGTTTAAATTTCAAACACCCGTGAGCGATATGCTCATAAAACGGAATTGGCAATATCACGCGGAAAATAGATCAACGAAAGTCGCAACGATTATTATGACGATGAAAGATTTGACAGCGATTCATAAAGCATGACTAAAACGGCAGATAACATAGCAATTGTATATAGCTTGCATTTTATCTTGAGGCCTAAGCCTTTTATAATTTCAAAACAATGTCCTTAAAAATTTACATAGATCTGGCCTTGGAAATGAGCAAGTCTTCTGACTTAGAAAAAAATGAAATTAGTCAGGGTCAAAGCATGTAACAAAATAAGCTATTAGGCTGTCATGCGGAAGAAATTGTAGGCATGATAAATGCAAAATTCAAGAAGAATTGCAATGGCTGTTTGATCAATTATTCCTCCCAACGTCAACATGATTTTTTAGTAGCGAGCTTTAGCAAAGACTACGAGTACGAGTACGAGTACGAAGCAGTTGTACGAAATACGTCATTTTGGCGCAAGAACATTGTTGCGACAACAACAACCATTGAGTTCTATAAAAAGGGGCCTGGACCAGGTTTTTAAAAACATGGCGGTAACAGAGCCCTCTATTGAGAGAGTTGGGACACATATTGCTGTCTGTATTTTGCATGATGATTGGGTAAATACGGTCACGTGGGTCTCTCGCCGCCATTTTTGTTCCAAGACTGCAATAGAAAACTATAGTTTACAAAGAGTTTAATTACAAAAAGTTCGGTTTTATGTTGTGTGTTTATTTTACCAATCGAAGAAACGAAAGATATAAAACGTACACGGTCCCTGGTGGCAAACACAGTACTGAAAAGCGTCAGAAGTGGCTCTGTGCAATTAAGAGGAAAGATTTCAATCCCACTCTATCTACCAGATTGCATTGTAGTCACTTATGTCAATGTATTTGGCATGGAATTTTGATTTTTTTTTATATATTTCTGATAAATATTGGTGTACCTATTCGTACAATCCACGCGGAATGCATATAAATCCACTCAGCTTTTCAGTCATGCCATATAAGTTTTGTTCTATTGTTACATTTTGAAAATGAAATTGAGTTTTGTTTAATACAATGATTAATTCCTTTTTCAATTTCATTTGTACTAAATAACTCATTACATCTATGTAAAGAATACATGGTGGTCCTAAAGAGATACTATATATATTCTCCATGTTAACTCTTAACTGCAGTTTGCACACATAGAATTTCATATTTAAGTACAATGAGATGATTTCTATTTTGTCAGATTGATAACAATCGCGTTCTCAACTTGCCAAAACCAAAAACAAATGCCTAAAAACGTAGCTTTGCATATAAAGGTGCAGAGGCATGGAATAACATTGAAGACAAACGAAAATATCCATTGCGTGCATAAACTTACTTTGTTTTTTTTTGTTTATTTTTTTAATTTTATACCTAGATGTAGTATCCTTTTAATTTTATTTTATCACACGGCTATCTGAAAATCAACATTCTTATTTTATATGTAGTTGTATTTTAGTAGGATCCAAGTTGAGATACTACCGTGTTTAAATAAATGTAAATAAATAAATAAATAATAAATAAATGTTTGTCGATAAGATGTAGGAAGTCGTGGGCGATGTGTGCAAAGAAAGAAAAACCCTAACCCACCTATTTGATCAGCTTGGACTAAAAATCACAGCGATGACAATCCATGAACGCACAAACTTCTTTGACGTAACCTTTGACCTTAGCAACGACACCTACCAACCATATAAAAAACCGAACGACGAGCCTCTTTACACTCACAGATTGTCCAACCACCCACCATCGGTATTACGCCAACTTACCCACACATCCATCAACAACCGAATTAACTCACTCTCCTCTAGCAAAGACATCTTCAAAAATGCCGCACCAATTTACAACCAAGTTCTTAAACAAAGCAGCTTCCCCACCCAACTCACCTTTAAACCATCAAACATTAATGTAAACACTACGTGCAATAGAAAACGTAACGTCACTTGGTTTAACCCACCATACATCAAAAACGTAAAAACACACCCGCCCACATCGCCCACGACTTCCTACAACTTATCGACAAACATTTCCCACCAAATACTATACTCTCCAAGATATTCATCCGACACACAATACGCGTAAGCTTACAGCTGCGGCGAAAATATGAAAGCTTTCATAACCAGACACAACAAGACTATTTTAAAAAAGACTTAACCCAGAAACCACTCAGAACAAGAACAACCCCCCAAAGAACTGTAACTGCAGACAGAGACCTATGCCCGACAAATGGAAATTGCCTGAAACCCAACATCGTTTACAAAGCCGACGTGACAACGACTGACAACAACGAAACAAAAACTTATATAGGTGTTACTGCATGCGACTTTAAGACACGATACCGAAACCACATTAAATCAATTACGAACATTAAATACCGCAACGAGACACAACTTTCTAAACACACGTGGACACTGAAAGAAAATAAACGAAACTACAACATTAAATGGGACTTCATCAAACAACTTCCACCTCCTCCGAACAAAAACCAAAAAACCTGCCGCCTTTGCCATGAAGAAAGACTACTTATCCTAAAAGGACGTAAAAAGAACATTTTAAATAAACGTTCCGATATCTTTAGTGCATGTCGTCATTTAACCTAACAACTTCTAATCAATGTATATAGTCAGCAAATAATAAATTATCTGTCAGTTGCCTGAAGATCGCCCAACGGCGTGAAATCTTCGCACTTTGTTGGATCATATCTACATTTAATTTCAAACACCGCACTGCATAAAACATTCTTTCATATAACATTCCTTTCACGAGAAAACATCAGCCCAACAAAATTGACCTGTGCACCACTGTGTGACTTCATAGCTCAGTTGGTCAGATCACTACCGGCACCGCAGAGGTCATGGGTTCGAATCCCGTTGAGTCACCTGAACTTTTCAGGTTCATTAGACAATTGCTTAAATTGTCCAACAAAGTGCGAAGATCATATCTACATTTAATTTATTTTCTTCTTATTATCAATATTTACGCTCTGCTCTTAAGCATCGAGCACTGTACTTATATATATATTTGTATATATATATATATATATACAAAGTGCATATACAATGTGCCCTCCCGGCTATCACCATATTAAAATGGTGACTCCTGCACTTGGGACACAGAACGTACGGTCCATCATATATATATTAGTTAAGTACTTCTTTGTAGGCAGTGTGATTTCTATGATTAGTTTTAAATTTGTTTTTTGTAAGTCCAATGTACGTCTTAGTTGTGTCATTGTCCTTGCGTTTCACAGTAGCTTGGTAGATGACGGATGATAATAGGCAGTTTCCGTTAAGTGGACAGTTTTGTCTTTGTTGTCAAATGCATGTTTTTGTATGTGACTTTTTGTTGGTGGTGTTGTCGTTAGTTTTGTCTGATGTTCTCAGTATATGTTTGTCAGGGGCGGATCTAGGATTTTTCAAACTAAGCCGGCAAACGCCGGAGGCGTTTTGGAATAGCTTTACAACAAATTTTCAAAGTGAATGAAATCGCAGTTTTTCATTTTTTCTTACAAAATATTGAGGACAAACACGCTAAGACCATTTCGCCCAATGTCAGGGCTCTTCAGCATGCCTAGGAAACACATAGTGCAAAGCAATAATGTGATTCCGGACATGGACAGTCTTTGTTTTAGCAGCAACGGCGCATTACAACAGCCAGTTGTGCTGTAAGACATTTCTGCACAAACGGCGCATTACAGCAGCCAGTCGTACTACATGAAATTTCTGCAGCAACGGCGCATTAAGCAGCCAGCTGTGCTCAGGGGCCGCGGAAGTATCTCAAAAGTGGGGCACTGACCGAAAAGGGCATGTGAGCTTGCAGCTTACTGTTTTAGTATATTACAGATATGCATTGTTTCATGAATCATGATTAAGTTTCAAAGTCTGCAAAATATTGGTAGACATTCTTAAAACGCTATGCGTATTCTCTACTGCTCGGCGTGCGTGCTAACATATTGAACTAAGATGACTACATGAACAATTTTATTAAGTAATGTGATCTCATTAAAATTTCCCAAAAAATCTAACCCTACGTTCGTTTTTCAGAACAAAGTCCTTAGCTATTAAACGTAAGTCCAGTTCGTCAGTTCTGGCCTTGTTTACATGCATAACAATAAGATTGTAGCGTGCTGCCGTCATTGTGCTCCTGAGATGTGTCTTGACAAGCCGCTGGCATGAAAAAGATCGTTCTCCAGAGGCTGCGCTCATTGGAGCAAGAAGGTAAATCTGCAAGAGTCGGACAACATTAGACATTGCCATGACATTCTGCGATGAGTTATTTTCTTCGGTTGAGAATATTGATGTTATGTTGTCAATTGATGTCACCTTCTTTAGGTCTGGAAGTCGCTGCGAGATAATTCCTTCAAGAAGCTTTAACTCCGCCTTCAGCTGGTCAAAGTCGAGGTCGTTTTCGTAAAGGTGTTCAACTTCATCATTCAACTCAAACTTACGCCCGTTTGCTGCATTAATGAGCACGGTTTCGATGTTCATCAATACAGAATATGTTTTTTGATCGAAGCGCTCCTGTAGTGAAGCCAAGCACGCATCAATTGACTCAACATACTGGGCACGGTGGGCGTCTTTCGCAGTTTGGAAATGATGTTGCTCGCCATCTCCGTGTTGAAGTCACCACGGAACTTTCTTTGGTTTTGGTTGTGTTGGATCGCCTACAAAGTTGATAGCCTTGCTTGAAGCAACTACTTGGTCGTAAAACAAAGAGAAGTTGTCTCGTTGACGCTGCAAGTTTGTCTTCAAGGCAT